CCTTTGTTTCTGCAACGCATACAAAGCTTGGAGACAAAGTGAATATTCCAGGTCAGTTTCTGCACGCCCGTTTTACTGAAAAGCTGTTCTTCAAAATTTCATCCTGTAACTCTTTTTTTTCTCACTCTACGTCGCTTTTTACGCGTATCGACGACACCTTGCTGTTTCGTGGAAATAGCGTTGAAAGCTTTTGTCAGACATAAAATACATCGGCCGACTATTTGTTAGCGTTACTCGGGTTATGAAATGCTTTTGATGGAGCAGCTATGGAAATTCGCGAAAAACTTGTTACCCGTTCGATCGGTGATAAATTTCGGCTTCTTGGAAAATGAAATACGGTGAGCGCGATGAAACTGTGACCGAGTTCTGCCTGTTATTGTGCAGAAATTAGATAATCCGGGATTTAATTAAATTCTACTGTAGCTTAATGCGTGTGCGCGAGATTTTTAGTCCACTGGGTTGTGAACTTTGGTATTTTGGGATGGGGTGGATTTGGAGATACTGAGATGGGGAGTAAGGGGTTTTGGAGGCGTGGAATTTTTGAGATTGGGATTTGGGAGTTCAGGGTTTGGAGTTTGGGGAATTGGGGAGATGGGAAATTTGGGAATTGGGAAACTTGGGTGATAGGAAACTTGGGAAATGGGAAACTTGGGTGATAGGAAACTTGGGAAATGGGAAATTTGGGAAATGGGAAACTTGGGAAGTGGAAAACTTGGGAAATGGGAAACTTGGGAGATGGGAAACTTGGGAGATGGGAAACTTAGGAAATGGGGAATTTGGGAAATGGGAAACTTGGGAAATGGGATACTTGGGAAGTGGGAAACTTGGGAAATGGGAAACTTGGGAGATGGGGGACTCGGGAGATGGGAAACTTGGGAAGTGGGAAACTTGAGAAATGGGAAATTGGGAAATTGGGAAATTGGAAATTTGGGAAATGGGAAATTTGGGGAGCTTGGAATTTTAAGAGCTTGGAATTTGGAGAGCTTGGAATTTGGTGAGCTTGGAATTTGTGGAGCTTGTAATTTAGAGAATTGGTAAACGAACTATTGCAAGCATGCTTCGAAACGAATTTCCCCCTCGCGAGCCAGCATTCACAAAGTACAAAGTGGCGAAAAACTCATCAAGGAAATCGAGCCATCTCCACTTCGGCAGTAAGGACAGTAACGCAATTCATAGAACGCGATAAAAGAAAATTGCTCTCCAAACAGTCTCAGTGAAATACATTTATCTCCTTAGATCGACTTCTCTCCTATACAAAGTTATCCGACCGAATAACGGACTTTTCAAGCAAACGAAATAAACCGAAGCTACTATTCCCTGAAACTTTCTATTATGAGGAGCTCCGTCGTCTCTTAGAAACAGAGAAAATGAATACTCTTTCGATTCAGTTTCTCCTGCTCTTATCGAGTACAATTTAAAGCGTCGATGGCGGCTCAAAAATATTTGCTTTGTCGACTGTCGTCCTCGTTGGAGCCGCGTGAAATGCCGGCAAAGAAAGTGGATCGTCAATGAATTACCCGAGGGAACTGTTCCATAAAATCCGATCGTTCGCTGGTAACCCATCGCCGCAGGAAAATTAAAAGTTATCGGGAAAAGAGGATCCTCGATGGTTGTTGCACGTGTGACACCGTTCCTGCAAATGATGAGACCGATTGAAACAAAGGAAATGAAACTTTTTCGGTGCTCGACTGATTTTTTCCTTGCATAAAATCTACATTGTGTAAAATACACAAGTATTGGGACAAGTATGTGCAAATACTGGGGGTTTCATAAAAACGCGGATCAATCAGAGCGCGAGGATTGCTACGCGTTAGATTGCCACGCGCTGGATTATTACGCGTTGGTTAACTACGCGGTAGATTACTGCGCGTTAAATTCCTACGCGTAGAATTACCACGCGTTACATTACTACGCGTTG